ACAGCCTCTAATACCTTTGCAAGGTTCTTAAAGTAGGATCTGCGTGATCGTGTTCAAGGGAAAAGAAGTACAAAGGCAATAACAGTGACAGAAAAGCCGTCGATACATTCTGAGTAATTGAGGCAGAAAACCCAAAATTTAAGACCTAAAGATGAAATCGAGAGCATGCTCAATTTATTAGATGCAGTGGGTTTGGCTCATGCCACTATCCACCCGTCCTATGGTGACATCTTCACTGAGCAGCTCTTGTGCTTGAAGTAAAGTTTAAAGTCCTCAGCGGAGGGGTGTGCTCAGAGCAGGGGGTCTGAAGAATGGCTCCTGTTAATAACACACCCAAACAGGAATCTGGGGTCATCTGGGGGGCACAAAACTATATCCACCCTAAAAACAAGTTCCCTACATGTGAAGGGGGAAAAAGTCCTCAGCAGAGCATACAAAGTCCTTTACAACCTGTCTCCTGTCATTCCAGCTCACCAGCCAGACACACCTGCCCTTTCCTTCTAAGAGCCCTTCTTGAGGTGCCCATTTCCTTCCCTTCCCTCTTCTCCCCACTCATCCTTCGATATTCAACTTAGAACAGGGTTCATATCTATTTCACTCATTCCTGTAATCTCGGTTCAAGGAGTACAATTGATGGATAATGTTTATTAATGTAGGAACGAAAGAAATACAGAAAAGCATAAATGAAATTTTAAAAGGAGGTAAAGAGAGAGCAAATTGTCTCCTCCTGTCTTTCATCCTTCCAAGCAGACATCACTTCCTGCTCGGAGCTGAAAAGAACCTTGTTCTATTCCCCTCTGTGCCATTTTTTCAGGTCTATCTACGTATTTTTACAGTTTTCCCCCTCCAGCCTTTTAGCACCCTAAAGGCTGGACCCATATATGTCTGGACGGCCAATCCTCAGCTCAGTGCCTGGCAGTGAAGGAGAGATGACATCACCCCTCAGAGGCCTTGTAAATCCACCTTAGAGGGAGCAGATAGTACAGGTCGAGCACCCTCTACCTGAAAATCTTAAGATTTTGTACTTTTTTGAATTTTGGAATATTTGCACATACCTAATGAGATATGCTGGGGATAGGAGGTAAGTCTAAAGATGAAATTCATTTATGCTTCATATCCACACCTTATGCACATAGTCTAAAGGTAATTTTATACACATTTTATTTATTTTTTTATTTATTTAGACACAGAGTCTCACTTTGTGATCCACTGTAGAGCGCTGTAGCATCACAGCTCACAGCAACCTCAAAGTCTTGGGCTCAAGCCATCATCTTGCCTCAGCCTCCCAAGTAGCTGGGACTACAGGTGCCCACCACAACACCGAGCTATTTTTAGAGACAGGCTCTTGCTCTTGCTCAGGCTGGTCTTGAACCTGTGAGCTCAGGCAATCTACCTGCCTCAGCCTCCCAGAGTACCGGGATTACAGCCATCAGCCACCATACCCAGCTGCAATACTTTTAATAATTTTGTGCAGGAAACAAAGTTTTGACTGCAAACAATCGCAAGAGGTCAGATGTGAAATTTTCCACCAGTGATATCATGTTGGCACTCATAAAGTTTTGGATTTTAGAGCATTTTAAATTTTGGATTTTTTAGATTAGGGATGTTCAACCTGTAGTAACTGGAAGTTCCAACCAAATTTGGATTTGGTTCCTGAAACACAGATTTTCCAGACTAGGTAAATAAATATCTAACACAGGGGAGCCCAGTCACTGATGCACTGAGGTTCTTGCTCATCAGAAACTCAAAAGACGCTCGCTCAGAAGCTCTGAACAATTTCCACAAGCTTCACTATCAGACCATCCAGTTCAGAGTTGGCTAGACAACAAATTGAGAGCAAGAAAGAAGATGGAGGCAGATAAACCACAAATTACTCTGAGGAGAAACAGTGGAGACTCAGGCAGTCTGGCAGCATGAAGCACCAAGTCTGGCTCTGCAGACGCTGGGAACTCAGAGCTGCCTGGCAGCACCACCCACAGCAACAGCCACGCAGTCCCAGTCCAGGGAAGGGCAGCGTTCCTTGGGAAGGCAGAGGTGTATGCGTAATTCATTAAGGAAGATTTCCATTAAAGACAAACCATGTGGCATTTAATGGAGAATGCTTTGACTAGTTGAAAATTCACTCAGGTGGAGCAGTTAATGAGCTGACAATGCCAGATAAATAACGTGTGACTACAGAAACCAAAGAGACTTTATATCGTGTGTTATCCATTTTTAGCTATCCAACACGTGGAATAGCACCAAAAGAAACATAAGGATGAAAATACACATTAAGGCAAACTCCTAAATACAATTCCAGGAGACTACACTGCCATGCAACCCAAATCAGTTTCTGGAGGCTGCGTGAGCCCTTACACAGCCTTCTGCACAGAGCTCTTTCAGGAGCTCATGTGTGATACAAGGGAAGTCAACATGAAGTCCAAGGAGTAGCTGGCTCACACAGCTACTATCATTTGCAGGGCTACTATCCCATGTGGGATTAGCCAGGGACAGTGCCCTGTCTGAGCTGCAGCCATCACTGTGCACTTAACATAATCCTATCCCATGTGGCAGTCTTCCAAGGATGGACAAACCACAGGCTTTAAATGTGACTGGCTGTGGTCCGGCCTGTGGGGTAGGGAGAAAAACATTTAGTTGGGGGGAGGGCAGTACGTAGGCCCAGAGCTTGTTTTCTCATTAGTCAGGCACCTTCCACCCTACGGCCCCCCTTCGAGGCTTTCTTGAATCTGAGGTTCCCAGGGAAGTCTAGAAATGCCTCTGGAGAAAATATGGCCAGTGCTCCCATCTCCACCCTCTGCCTCCCTCATTCATTCCAGCTCATTTAGAGCTCATTTTTGTTCCAGGAGTTGAGCTTAGGCCATTCCATACAGATGATCTCATTTCTGTGGCAGAATTTGGGAACAGCGAGTTTCGACTTGGTCTTTATGAACTATCAGACACACTGAAAAAGAGACAGCGTTATATTAATCAACAGACTAAGGCCTGTTTAGAAAGGGCTGCACGTGCTTTGCTAAGAGAAAGGAAGAGAACTACTGTTTAGTAACTACTCTGTGTGAGCAGCTGGGGCCGGGGCACTTCCCATCCCTTGACATTTCATTTGAGCTTCACGATAACCTGGCCAGGAAGGCCAGGACATGGAAACCAGGGATCTGAGAAATTTACCTCAAGTCAAAATCATGCAGCTAGTTGACAACAGAACATGAATTCAAAGTTGGGTCTGTTAGAATTTGAAGGCAAAACTTACTCCTCCACTCAAGCAAGAGATTAAAGAATGAGAACATTGTCCTCCTGGACAATGGGAAGCTAAAGGAAGGGAATGCTGTGAACTGTTGTGAAGTCATCCTAAAGCAACCTCGTGGGAAACCGGACCATTCCTCAGGGTACAGGGTACGAGCCCCACACTCCTTCCCTACTGAATATATATATAGAAAGAGAGACACACAAACACAAAGTCTCACTTTGTTGCCCAGGCTAGCGTTCCCTGGCATTAGCCTAGCTCACAACAACCTCAAACTCTTGGGCGCAAGTGATCCTCCTGCCTCAGCTTCCCAAGTAGCTGGGACTCCCACCACACCCAGCTAATAGTAGAGACAGGGTCTTACTCTTGCTTAAGCTGGGCTTGAACTCGGAGCTCAAGTGATCCACCTGCCTTGGCCTCCCAGACAGGCATGAGCCACCACACCCGGACCCCACTAATTATTTCTAAAACCTTAAAATCTGATTCAAAGTCGCTTCAAGAATAGCTCTAAATGGGTAATCACCGATTAACCAGATCCCTCAAAAGCTGTGGAAAGGCAGTCTGGACTCTCTTAACTATCACTTCCAGAGGAGCCTCCGTTCCCTCAGGACTGGACAGTTCTCCTCTCTCATTAGTTACCAGATCCAGGGACAGGGCACTCGCTGCTAGCTGCCAGACCTTCACAATCTGGGCAGGCAGTAGGGAACAAATAAATTTAACAGAGCAATTCAGATTATCAAATAGAGTCCTCTCAACTTCAGTTTCCACATCCATAAGTTGCGGGGGGGTGGGGATGAGCAAAATCTCTGATGATTGCTATGATTAAAGGTTTAATGCATATAAAGTAGGACTATAATATCTAGCCCTGTGGAGACCCTTAATTATGACAGTTGAATTTAGTGTCTTTATTATTCTATTCCCCGTGTTGTAGGTGAATACTTTATGTGCTTCATAAAGCATAACAATAGCATGAGGAAAGTTTTTCAGGCTTACTACATGGCAGGCACAGTTCTAATTGCTCATTTAGTCATTACAACAGACTTAAAAGCTAGGTGCTGGGCGGCGTCTGTGGCTCAGTGGGCAGGGTGCTGACCCCATATACCAAGGGTGGTGGGTTCAAACCCAGCCCCGGCCAAACTGCAACAAAAAAATAGCCAGGGACTGTGGTGGGCACCTGTAGTCCCAGCTACTTGGGAGGCTGAGACAAGAGAATCTCCTTAGCCCAGGAATTGGAGGTTGCTGTGAGCCGTGTGATGCCACGGCACTCTACCAAGGGTGACAAAGTGAAACTCTGTCTCTACAAAAATAATAATAATAATAATTAAAAAATAAAATAAAATAAAAGCTAGGTGCTATTATTATTCCCATATTAGCAATAAGGACACTAAGGCCCAGAAAGATTTGTCCCAGTTATAATGCTTGGATAGTCAATGCACTTCTCCACACTCTACTGGTTGTAATTACTGTTATTATTTTCTATTGTTGTTACTATTATAGCACCAAAGGGATTCCCATTCAGCTCCCAGAAAGCAACTCCTAGGACAATTCTAATGTATTAAAAGTATACGTTTTAAACTCCCAGAGTCTATGAAAGGACATGCAATTCTCTGACGCTAGTGCAGTCCCCTCATTCTCACTTCCTGGCTATTCAGAGACTTCTCGAGCTTGCTCCAAGTTTGCTGAGCCTACCCAGAAAACAAAACCTTCCTAATGGCTTTGGTTTGGTGGGCTTCATAAACATTCTTGGAATGATGAAAGGATCACATATGGTGTTATCTTATTGAATAATGGTTTGGTGTGTCTTCTCTTAAAGGCAATATTTAAGCGTGTTTTTGTAGCCAGTGATACATTAGAATAATACCATATATTTATACAGTGCTTTACCATTTTCAAAGTGCTTTTCCAATTACTGTCTCATTTGATCCTCACCGCAGGCTTGCAAAGCCAGCAGAGCAACTGTTATTACCATCCTCATTTTATAGGCAGTGTGGTCAAGTACAAAGTATCCCAAGCTTTGAAGGAAAACAGAATAGGGTTCTGTTCCCTGCTCCTCGATGTTCTGGCTAGGCGACCCTGAACTAGTTTCTTAACCTTTCCAAGCTTCAGTTTCTCCATCAGCCATCTGGGGGCAACAATTTATACAAGGTTCTGCAGAGGATCAAATGA